AAGTAGAAAGTAGAAAGTAGAAGTAGAAGTAGTAGTCGTCGTCGTAGCAGTAGTAGCAGCAACATGCCCTACTAGTAGCAGTAGCGGCAACAGAAACACCGCTATCCGGTACGGAAGCAAATCGTCGTACTTGTGTTACCAATACTACTGGGATTGAAGGTGACAGAAACAGTAGCAGCGCCACCCGTAACCACAGTGGGCGACGCCAATGACAACCAGCCTTCTTGTCGTTGCCAGCGCTAGCCAGTCTATGGGGTGGTGATCCTGCTACCCAGTACTGGGATTATGCGAGTGCGGAGATGATGATCGACAAAAGCAGTAGTGCTCTTACTGAGAAAGGTACCAGTCTTGAATTGCTGTAGCGAGACTATCTAGACCCTCCATTGGATTTCCATCGTTGCTTACTTGTTGACTGCAGAAGCACTTGGCAAGCAAGAGAAGCACTACATTGCAAGGTTCAGCTAGTAGGGCCCAGTCGAAACCTCTCACCCCACACCGAAAGAGGATCGGCCAAGAAGATCCAACAAGCATTCGGGAACATCGGAGGTTTGGTTCTTGTGGGGAGGAGCCGGGAGACGGTCTCAGGAATCTGCGTGTGCAGCGTGGCCCGGACTGGCAGCGGGGTCAAGAGGACCGAAGCAAAGTGGCACAGTGGTACAGAGCACGCGATTAAGTCGGCTAAGTTTCTGGCATGCGCTGCCGCGCTTCGTAGTGTTTACTGCAAGCCTTAAAGGCCATGTACTTTTAACGAGGGTCCGCGACGCCCGACTTTCTAGGGTGCACGAATGGGAATAGATAGACTTGACCTAGAAATCTCAGCCTTTGCAGCGCTATAGCCTTTGAACCTGCGGTATGCTGAAGTTGCTGTATGCTGGCTAAAGCTGGACTAAAGAACTGCTCGTCGTTCTCAATGATATCAGGTGGAGGATGGTGAAGGTGACGGTTTTGGGTGAAATTGTAGTCCTTTTCTTATGACTAGAGGCTTGTGCACAGACGGACCCCAACCCGACACCCGAATGTCCCAGAAACTCTTCGAGTCCCTTTGCTCTTTAGAGTTTCTCCGTCCGCACAGTGAACGATAATCCGGGTTTAGGGTTCCAGCAATCGTTTTGGTGGTGGGTCACGCAGCACCACTAGCCAAATCAGATGTTGCAGAATATACGTGAGACGTTTGACCTGCGTTGACCAGAACGAAGAGCATTATACACGATACAAGCTCTGAGAAAGCGAATATCAGCCATGGCAAGACGAGAAGTGTCAAATTTGCAACAGAAGCCGTTGAACTAGTTACATAGTTGCTAACGCTCTTGGCCAGGACGGCGGCGCTGGAAAGGCCCTGCACTTGTGGTACCGGTTCTTGCTCCGAAGGGTTTACCTGAATGACCTAGTAGCAAAGGCTCCAGGAAAAGCGGGTATCCGATACCATTTCGGCGGTTCGGCATGGCTTGGGCAATAGGGGCCCGAGATGATTACCCATACTATTTTGGGCCACCTCCTTATGAAGATGTACCCCAAAATTCCTGCTCTACTTAACGAGGCCCCTGTATGTTTCTCCGGATCACATGGGTTGCGAGAGTAGGCTCCTGGCAAAGGTGGGCGTCATCTTGTCTTTCGACACCACGAAGACGCTTGGCAAAGCTCGGCAGAGAGGCCGCAGGCCGAAGGCGAAGCTGTAAAAAAATTCTTTACAGCTCGGCAGGGAGGCCGCAGGCCGAAGGTGAATCATAGAAAATCTCAATACTCCCAGTGTCAGTGTCTTTTCCTGCGTGTATCTTTTCAGTAGATTGTCAGGTCATCACCCATTTCTGCCACATTCCCTGAGGATGACAGCACAAGTCCTGTGGGAAGGATCTGGCAAGGCGCACTCCCACTACCAGCCGCTTGCACGGATTCTCGAAGCTGCTCTCAGCCCTGAGCTTAGGAAAGCATTTGTCCGATTTGGAATCCTCAAGGATTTGCTGTTAGAGTGGGTTACAGTTCCCATGGGCTCTTAAGCCAATATTCGGATGAAGCACTACAAGTATAGTGGGATAGATGAGGTACGGAAAGTCAAAGGAGCTCGTGCTGTACGTGGGCAGCAACAGCCGCTTGGAGCATTCACTTTCGGAGCAACGCTCATTTTTGCGGAATAGTGCACCGATGCCGGGTCGCAGCGAACTGCATGTCTTTGCAAACAGCCAGGAAAGCCCTTTAGCATCCCCAGCCCGAGCCCTCTAAACCCAAACCCTTTCAAGAGCGACAGAAAATCCTGCGGAGGCACACTAGCCACAGCACCGCTGGGCAGGCGAAACTCGCAGGCCTTCTTCGCGGCGCCTCGCTTTCGTTGTGCATTTTCGTTTGCTTTTTGAAAGCTAGTTTTCAGCTAGTTAGAGACCTCACTGGGGTGACTTCCTTGTTTGCGGAGGTTAAGGCGTACATTTTGGTTTGGGACTGCAGGGCCCAAATGCTAGTAGAGACTAGATGTGCGTGCCTTTAGGAGTGTTCACCACACGTGCTCATTGCATGCATGCGAGTGTTTGGTGTTGAATGGGGTGCTGCTTCACTTAATGACGGCGGTAATCTTAATCGTACTTTATCCGCGTGATAAGGAAAGTGTGCACATAGTCGTAGTGAAGATCGCCTCAAAGATGCTTCCAGTCACAATAACTTTAGATGGGCTTGAGGTGCAAGATTCCGCATTTCGCCGGTTCTATTGTAGGGTGCAGGAGACCGAGGGGGAGAGAGCGAGAGAGAAAGCGAGAGGAAGAGAGAATGAAGGTTACATTTGTATTCAGGTTGATTTTTTGCATGCGTGCATGTGAACCTCCAGATCGCATTTAAGATTTCGGGTAGCTGGGCAGGTGGCGTAAGGTTGAAGGTTTTTATTTTCAATCAAGGACAAGGCGCAAACACTGCTCATCTTCGACTGGGACGACACCCTGTTCCCCACGACGTACGTCCGCGACGATCTGGACTTGAGCTTCTGGGCTGGACCTTGTGACTGGAAAGTTGCGGGTAATGCTGCAGATTCTGCACTCAGCTTCTAGATGTCGGAAGATGTTCAGTACCTGAAGTTTCCGTCAGAGGGTGCAGGCTTGAAGGTTGCAGGCTTCGCAATCATTGATGTGTACTGCAGCCCCTCTCCAAAACATTGCCGAAGGCGCTGGACCCGAAAGTTGTGTTCAACCTTGCCAGTGCCTCATCCCCTTCAACGAAAAGGAGCGAGTAATTAGATGACAAGGGACTTTGATTTGCGTTCGCGGCCTCCGGGCTTCAGGATAGAGTGTTTTTCTGTTAAAATGATCTTGCTTTCCACAGTCTCGCTTAGAGCCTGAGGATTAAAGCAGGTTGGTGGGCTTACGCCCCGGACAGAACTCAGCGCTGAGGTTGGAACAAGCCCCTCAAGGACCAGTCCTTGACTTGGGCCGAAAAGGCCCGAAGAGCTGGGGCTCTGGCTTCTCGTTTCGGGTTTCAGGCCTGGGGCCTAGGGTCCGTTAGCCTTTGAGCCATGTCTTTTTGGCTCAAGTTTGTAGGCTCAGCATCAAGCCATCACATCGTTACGCGCTGATGCCTGTCCGTCGGCATGAACGAGGCGGCAGCTTGCCGGGTGGACTGGCAGCTTGCGCCCTTCCTTCGCGGCCTTTACGAGCCGGCCTTTGCCACAGAGGTCCGCGATTTCATCAGCCAACACGCCGAAGCCTTTTCGGAGCCCTGCGCCGACGGCTCCTGCCCTCTGATTTGGACAGAGCTGCACGAGGAGTACAGCAAACTCTTTGAGCGGCAGCTGAGAGCAGTGGTACAGGAGGAGGGTTTCAGCCTGGAAGACTTCCGCGAGCATCTCGCTGACCTTCGAGACTTTGCAGCGCTGCGAGCTCCTGATGACTACCTTCCCGGATGCGAGCCTTCCTACATCCCTCCCAGCTCAGGCATCCGTGTCGCCGAATTCTGGGATTTTCTAGAGGCGCTGACGGCTTCAACGAATTTCGACAGCTTTAAAGAGCTCATGTGCATCGGAGCGCAGGCAGGAGGCCCAAAATCGCCCGACGTCTGCGGATATGCCGCGGTGCCTGCAGAGGTAGCGCCGGCACAAGAAGACCAGGTCGACTTGAGAGCTTCGGTGCCGCCGCCTCCACCGCCTCCTGATGCTCCAGCTTCCCAGGGGTACAGAGAGGCTCCATGAGGATCACAACAGCAGTCATTGCAGTCACCGCACAAGGAGGTTCCCGGTACGTCAACCGACAGCAGTTGAAGCCATCTGGTGCCAAAAGAGAAGCACCAGAACCGGTGGAGCCAGAGCAGGAGGGCACGATGGAACCTTGGACTTCGACGCCAGCGCGGCATCGCAAAAAGGCCAAGCCTCGACCGCTTACTCCTTCGTGCGATGCTGAGGCTCTGTTGCAAAGCCGGTACAAGCTAGAGGAGCCATGGCTTGCAAGTGGCGCATACCAAAGAGCCAACCCAACTACCCGGCTTGGACGCTCCTAGATCCTAGCTCCGAGAAGTTAGCATCCCACTTCCAATCGAAGCTTTTCCCTGAGGCTCCCGGAGCCGAACACAGGAACCCGACACTCCCTGAACCCTCGAGAAGGGCTTCGATGCCTCGCAGTAATTGCAGATGCGAATACCAACAATGCTAATATGAGAAGTTTCCCAAAATAGGGGGTACCTTATTTTGGGATCCTTATAATAGGGATCCTGTTATTTCGAGCATCACAATACCAATACAGATGACAATGCTAATCATGGCATGAGGAGCCCGGTAGCCTTTAGATTCGTAGGAATGCATTTAGCACGTTTGATGGTGTAGGAAGTGGAGTACCCAATGTGTGGATCATACGAGGGCGAGTCGCCGCGACTCTAATTGAAGTTCCCCGCTTTGCCTTCCTGATATGCAGAGCCCCTAGTCAAGCTCATGGGTTGAAATGTCACAGGAGACAATAATGGCCGACTGGTGGTGATACAACATCTTGCAATGTATCCTCAAGACAGGGGTATCTATTATTGGTGAAGCCTTCGTTCTGAGATGATTTTCCAGGTTGAGGATGAGACTTTTTTGGGTTGAGGGGAGAAGTCTGGCTCCAGGGGCAGAAGATCAAGCAAGGAAAGAATAGAAGGAATCAGATATTCCTAGACAAGGTTCCGAATCTCCCGAGTGGCCTCCGCAAAATTTCGGCTGGTTGTTGATGCTTGAAGTAGGCTGTGAAGAAGTCGAAACCTTCATCCGCCCAATACGTGTGGTGCATCTCGGGTTACTGCACAAGGCCCTGCCAAAGTCAAGTCAGTCCTAGAGGAAACTAAAGGTTCAACAGAGAGCTCAAGATCTCCTGCTCCAGCTCTGCAGGCAGAGGTAGGAAAGAAGCTGGATCAGTGTGCGGCGCATGTCGCAACTCGGCAGGATACGTCAATCGCCTGATGCCCCAGTTGCACAGCTCTCCAAACCCGATTCGTCACAAGCGAACCAAGGCATTCAAAACGATGCACCGATTCAAAGGTATCTGTTTGAACGTCAGGCACGGCAGCACAAGTGGCCATCGCACAAATCAGCCTGGCAACAGCCGCAACAGCATTACCATACTTGTCGGCTGCGGCTGCAGCAGTGTCGATGTTAACAAGACGATAATGGCAAGATCGCCGCAGCCACAAAAGCCAATGCAAGCTGCGCAGACAATAACAAAGACAGCGGCAGCAACAACAGCAACAACAACAACCACCAGCAACGGCAACAGCAAAGCCAGAGCCTCAACATGAAGTATCAACCAACAGCTGTGGCGACGACATCCACTCCGACCACGACTGCAGCAAGGCCAAAGTAAAACAGTGACCACACTAGTGCGGCCGAGCAGCACGGGCATGCAGAGCAGCAATGAAGGCAGCGACCAACCCAAAACCTCGTTCAATCCAGTAGCCTCAATAATTAGAGCAGGGCTTTGGGTCATGATATCCTACAGTCATTATAGCAACAATAAGGGGCAGCAAGTTTGAATTCTTCAGGTGGAGCTCCTGAAGAGTGCCTGCAGCTTCGGGAAGGTTGTGCTGGTCACCCTGGCGCGAGCACCCTGGGTTTCCGAGTCATGCAAGACGCCTGCCGCAACAGTGTTGGTCTGAAAGACCGAGGGTGCGCAGCACATAGATGGTTCTGCCGTCCCCTTTGGCTTGGCAAGGGTTGCTTTGTGGGTTTGGTGCGAATTGGGCTTCATTGGAGTTCAGATGTCTTTTTTGGTAGAGATCTCCCCAAAACTTAACTTTCGATTGAGCCCCTCATGGCATCGGGTCGCGTTGTGTGAGCCGATTTTTTTTTCGACCTTCAGGGTGTCCGTCGAGTCTCGAGCAGTTTGAGAGAAGTCTGAGTAGTCAAGCCCAGCACTTGAACCAGAAATCCCTAAAGCTTCGTTGCGGTGTCCACTCATGAAGCATTCGAGATGCGGCCTTGTATCTGTGGAGCCACAGTCCGGTTTGCGGGTGAAGGTTGTCAGGTCAAGATGGAGTTGCGGAATCCTAGAGTTCGGAGCCAGATCTCAGATCAGAGAAAGAACCCATCTGTCGTTTCATACAGCGTTCTGAACATGTGTCAGCCCATCTGACCTCGGATGCCAATTTTTGAAAAGTCCTTCAGCTTTATGTTCAACCTTGCGCCATGCAAATGGCTACGGCTCACCCGGCAGCTTCTGAGTCCGCCTGTCTGTCCGCCCCCAGCCCCGGTGTAACCAGGACGGTCGTTTGTTGGCTCCCACAGCCCCTTCTCTGGGACACCTACGTAGGCGGTGAACGCATGCATGAGCCAGCCCAAGTCGAGTCTCCTCTAGGGTCTGCTGACGTTGAGCCATATGAACGTTGACGGCTTGGGTGAGGAGGGTGACTTTATGGGATGCTGCTGTTGAGGACGACCCTGATGCTACTCAGCTACTCGCAGGGGTTCCTGCCATTGCTCCTGCTCTGTTGCTGCTAACGGCCTTGCCGTAGCCGCCAGAGCTGCTGCATAGGAACTTGAAGGCCCTTAGGAGGCCTTTTCCAAACCCCAAAATAAGGTACCCTAAGTAGTGATCCTTATTAAACGGGCCCCAAAGTAAGGTACCCTAAATAGTAGGATGCGGAGGCTGCGCTCTGACCGCAGGCCTCTCCCCGCCACACCTTCCCCCCGAGACAACGGGCACATGGGCCAGAGAGCTTTCCGAGAAAAAACAGTCATGACATGCAACTCCTCCTAGGAGCAGCGTAGGCAATGTGCTGGGATTCCAGGGAGGCTGGAAGGTCTTGAAACCAAAACTGACAGCTTCGATCACTGACAAGCAGAAGTCAACAGGCACTTAGAGGATATGGAGAGCGAGATCCTACAGCTAAAGAGCCGGCCTTTCACGCCTGTCACTACCCCGAGAGGGGATGGCCGCAGTTTTGATCATCCATCCACATCGTCGCCATAGTTGGCAGGAGGCACGCCGGTCTGCTATTGAGGAAAAGGTTAGAGGGGTCTTTAATACGTGTAATAGCCGCTCTCTCTTGCAAAACCTTTGCTGCCCCGTCGTCCGCTCTAACATCTGCCGCATTTGTTGTACGTAGACGAGAGAATGGCAGATTGGACTCCTCGAGTGGCACCTTCTTATAGACCTATCGCTTGTGGACCCACTTGAGCTCATCAGCTCTCGCCTTTTCCACAAGATCAGGATCCAAAATATTGCCAGTGATCGTGTCCCAGTACTCGCGGCTTTCGCCGCTCGAGATTTACTGGTCCCAATCAACCTCGAGCTCTGCCTCCTCTGGCACTGGGCCGGCCGTGTGCGCAGTAACCGCACTCAGCTCGCCAGATTCCAGCAAGCAGGGCACCCTTGAGGCCAACGAGGATGGCCTTCGCCAAGGGTGTCGGGTACCTTCCACGCTCACACGCCGTACCCTCGTCGATCCGCAGATTCCCCTTCATCGGTGGCATACACCGTGCACTTTGGCCGAGTTAGTCACTCACCTGGTGACTCGCTTCACGTAGCTGGCGCGCCGGGGCCACATGCACCGTCAGTGAGTGAATTGCTGTAACATGAACACGCGTGTGTTGTCACCCGGAAGCTCGTGAAGAGCAAGGGTCCCTTCCCCCAATGCCGCTCTGCATATGCTTTATGCTTTGATTGGCATTGTAGGAAGGCTCTTGGAGCAAGGGATCATCGTGGATTAGCTGAATTTGGGCCACATGCGCCTCTCCCTGCGAACCATGGACTAACTTGCCTGCATTGCCCGAGTTGCGAGAGTCTAAGTCCATGACGTGTTGGGCTTGCGCGCTTGCTTTTCGCGCTGAGGAACTTCTATGTTTCCGTTGGGCGGTTGATCAACCAGCTGAAGGCCGCACGGACTTCGTGACTACCAATGTAGCGGGAAACGAAAGCATGTGACAAGGGAGTGCGGGGCAGATTTGATTTTCCAAAGTAGTCCAAACCCTCAACCGCCAGGGGATGAATACAGCCGACATAGGCTTCGAATCAATGACTCGGTATTCTTTCTTCGCGACATATGCCAAACGAACCTCAAGATTCAAGATTGCCTTCCAGAGACCCGCTCTGAGAGTTCAACTAGTGCTGAGACAGCCGATAGTTAGTCCATGATGTTCTGTTGAGAATATTGATCTTCCGCCAGGTGCCAATCGTTTATGCGCAAGAAGGAATACAGGTGGACTACAACAAGTCCCAGATGACCTCTGACGAGGACCAGCAGGGAGTTGAATTTCAGGTTGCGGGCCCCAGGCCCAGGTGTTTGATCCTGACGTCAGGCCGTGAAGTAATGGCTCTGTGTGGATCGAAGATTTTTTGGGATAGAACGCAAATACGGTCATCACAGCCCCTATCTTCAGACTCATCAGGTTTTGCTGCAGAGGGGTTCGCCATCTGGCAAGGCGCTCTCAAACAGGCTCTTGCTGAAGGATGTATGTTTTAGTCTTATCGTATGGGATGTCATATCTAATAAAGGTCCAACTATACAGGCATCTTTCCATGTTCAGACTCCGCCTGACCGTCTCTCAACTGGCATGGGAGTCTCAGAAGACAGAACCCAAAGTGACTGGAGCCCCCCCCTCCTCGCTAGTTTTCTGAAACCCCCACACAACTCTGCCGAACCTCCCACTATTGTGCTTTTCCTAGAGTCCTAGAGTCGCCTGTAGTCGTAAGGCACGCGGTTTGAAGAAAGCCGTGGATTGCTCCAATTGAAGGAACCCATGTGGAGGCACCCCAAAGCACACAGTTCCCCCCCCCCCCCAGCCGCAAAGAACGAGGAGATCGAAAGATTCTGGAGCGCCGTGAAAGGTAAGGCGATAGCTGCTCGCCCAGCGTGTTCGATTTTACCGGGATATTCAGGATCTCGACTCCGAGACTGCTTACTTCGCTTCTTTGTGATTTCTTTCTGCTGTTCCAGACTCGGAAGCCGCCCCAGAGTCGGAAGCAAAAGAAGGCACCCCGGGATCTTCCTGTCCCAGGATCGTAGATTTAGCACCGCAGCCGCTCGAAGGAAGACTTTGCTCTAGAGCTTCTGTTTAACATCTTCTTGGCCGAAGAGCAAGAAGAAATCAACCAAAAATGTAGTCTGTTCATGAACCAGAGGCCGAGGCCATCAACTAAGAAACCGTTTTCTTGAACCTGCCTGTATCTCTGAGACTGGAACATTGGAGGCAACTACTCCTGCGGGGGCTCAAGCACAGTTGTCACACGATCCGAGGCCCGAGAATGCAGGCAGTTCTACTCTCAATACGAGGCTCTGCATGTTGTGACACTTTGAGGAAGAGTTTCCATTCTGTAGGGTTTGGGCGGAGCACAACCTTCCAGAGTTGCTTGCTCAACTTGATATGAGCCTGAAGATTACAACACTTGTTCGAACCGCTGCTGCTACGGTAGTGACGATGTGTTTCTCCCCCAGCGAATAAAACCTGCCCGGCGCATGTTGAACAAGACATAATAGGAGCTTCAGAACACAATTTAGGGTAGTGAATCGTGAACCAAAAGCCTTTTGGACCCTGCGGCAAACTAAACTGCGGGCTTAGCTTTTGGGGATCCAACCCTCGAAGCCCTAAGCCGATCATTGTGTCAAGCACCTAGCGCGAATTGAGTCGCACCCCGGCAGGAGTGGTTTGAGTTTATGCACAAACCCCAAACTGGCTTTAAACTCCCAAAAAAAGACCAGATGCTGCAAAATGCCCGGGGTTCTCAAAGGCACGTAGCAGTAAAATGCCTGGTCTGTTTATTCAGGCCTCTTACTGGCATAAATACTTCTGTACCCTGAGAGGGCCAGAGCTGGAAGAACGTGATTTCCATCGGAGATTCCGACTCTCGGCAATCCGGTAGTGAGGGATTGAAGGAAGTTACCGGAACTCGGGGTTGTCTTAATCCCCGGTTTGAGCACCATGTGAGTTGAAAGAACAAACATGCGGCCAAGCCAAAGACCGCACTATAGATAGTATGGACAATACTTATTCAGGATCTCGTTAAACAAGGTTAACCAAGGCCTCTTACCCGATCTGTTTCTTCCTTATTGGGCACCTCTATGAATGACATCCATAGTCATTTTACTTTGCGAAGCCACCCACAACTGGGCATGCTCTCAAATTCTCTCCGTGGTTACATGTTTGGGTCAAGAACCCCAGTATCAAAAGAAAGCGCTGTAATCGTCGATGGAAGGTACTTAGCCACCTAAGCACGGCTATCTTGTGCAGTTGAGCATGTTGAACTCTTCTAACAAGTTTGCCCAAGCATTCTCTGCAAGCCAAACAACTCAACTCCATCGGTGCGCTGCCGGTTTACATCTTGAGGCTTAAGCGGTTCTTCCACCGCAACAAAACCCACAGTCTCTGGTAGAGGGCATCCACAGGATTTCGAGCGCCTGGGCACGCAGAGTGCCATGGAGGATTACATGAAAGAGCGAGGTGGGACATTTTCAGGGTCTAACCTCTTCGCTCTCTCTCCCTCTCTATCAGAGAACACACCGGGAAGATGATACTTTTGGTGCACATGTAGTCCATGGCCATCTTTCTGCTGAAAGTGTTTCTTGGAATCAGAGGTCAGTCGTAGTTTGAGAGCGCAGTGGGGGTGGTCGGCTTTCCCTCCTGACCGTAGCACCTTCATCTCCAGCACCTGGGCCTGAAGCTTCCCAAACCGGTACCCAAACACGCAACCCCAAGCCTGGCATGTTCAGCTCCTTAAGAAGGGAGGGAAGCATCCACAGGAGAGTTTCACTTACCCGCGTGCTTTTCCTTGCTCAAGGTCGTGCCCGAAGGCCAACACAAATCCCCAAGGCTTCATTTTAACACCCTAAACCCCGAACCCTAAACCCCAAAGCCTTAAGCCCTAAACCCCAAAACCCCTAAACCCGAGGTCCTGCAAGCATCACGAGCCGGAAGTTTCGGGGTTTGGTTTGCTCGCTCATCGGTTGGGGGCTCACTATTTGGAGCTGCAAGGGGCTTTCCGAGAATTATAGGGTACCTTTTTTACAGTGCTATATTACGGTCCCCTATTTTCGGAAACCCCCACATAAGTTGCCATAAAAAGGAAAGCAGCTTAGCTACCATGCTTGACCATATGGGTATGTATGTGCACATAACATGTATATATGTATAATATATACATGAAGTGTCTCTACATGTGTATATAGTATATAATACAAACATATGTACAATCTGCATGTTTAGCAACTTGTAGTATCTTAACGATAAGTTCCTTAGGACACCACGGCCCCTCGCTCTTTAAACGAGAAATCGGAAACGCGAAGCCCGGAGGCATCGAACAAGATGGCCAGCTCGTGGATGTCGGTGGCCACATGTACAAAGTCCGTACCAAAACGTCTCCTGGAGTGATATGTGCATTTAGGGTGTAGCGCTTTAAGGTTTAAGCTTTCCGGCTTTGATTATAACCATTTTGGGGCCTTGCCGTCCTTGACGATACCTATCGAATGAGCACGCCGTCCACTGACCCAGAACTTAGAGACTCCAAGATCCCTTAATTAAGGAGTATACCTTAAAGTATAGTAGGATCCCTACTATGATTTAAGGTATATTCCTTAATTAAGGGGTATTGGAGTCTCTGGGGAAGACTCGAGGATGAAAGAGCTGGTTGATCTTTGCGACTTCCGGCTGATTGTGTCTTCAGCTTAGTGGGAATTCCACGGGCTAATGTGGGGGTTTCCGAAAATAGGGGACCCTAATATAGTATCCTAAATAGTAGGACCCTTATTATAAGGACCCCAAAATAAGGTACCCCCTATTTTCGGAAACTCCCATGTTTCTCAAGGCCTCCTGGGCCCAGTTTTACCGGGGATAGATTGCGGATCCAGGCGTCCAACACCCAAAGCAAGCCTCCAAAGCCGCTAGACTTGCATAAACCCTACACCCTTTGACCCAGGGCTAAACCTCAAGGTTCAAGATGGTCGACGAGCCCACGATCGAGGAGTTGACGGTGGAGGCGGAAGTGGTTCTGATGGGTCACTACCCGGAGCCCCAAAGCCGAAGCGGATTGCGTCACGAAACAGTTTTGAGGTGGAGATGCTGAAGGCATGGCTCCCCCTCATGGTGAAGCTGGCGACTTGGGCAGCGAAGACGGATTACAGCCCAGAGCTTTGCGGTTGGACCTCTAGGGTTTTGGGAGGTTTCGGTAAGGGTTTTGTGGGGCCGGAAACCAGTGCATGCTGCTGGATGCTGCTTTGAGCATCCTTTAGCTACAGGCGGTTGTGCTTTGTTTGAGCGTCCCTGGTCGCTAACGCCTAGATCTACCTCTGATTCAGCCCTGGAATCTGATAGGAGGCTCGGAAGCGCTTTGTTCGCCTGGCTTTGAAAGACTCCACAGATGACGGAAGCGGCTACCACAAGAAGCTACAGTAGGTACACTGTAAGGCCCTGGGAGCAGGTGCAAGGTTCAATGAAAGGTTTCCTTCCGCATTCCAGAAACTGACATGCAAGGACAGCAGCTTCGACGTCAACCTCAACAATGCAGACGATCCTGAAGTGCTTCAGTCCATCGAGAAGACGCTGCGTGGTGAGACTGCCCACTGACGCAGGTCATTCAGAAAGGCTCTTGTGATCCAAGAGACCATCGGAGAGACTCTGAAATGATACGCCGGGCTGAAAATGATTCCATCTTCTTGGCGAGTTGCAGATCCTGACAGAGGGTCCGCAACACTCCTTGGTACTACGTACAGATAATGCTGCTCATCTATAGCCGACTTCGTCTGTTCGCGTTGAGTTCAAAGTCGCCGACCCGTGCTGCAGGCTGTGCTTCACAGGTTCCTTAGTGCTTGAACTGTAGGAGTTCCCAGCAAGGCCGTATCCGCCTTAAACCCAGGGCCGGGGAGCCAAAAAGAGCCTCTTTGGCACATGGCCCTTGATTTCTTCACCACAGAGCCCATAAACAAACAATCCGAAGTTCGCGAGAGATGATATTCATATTTACTCTATATATGTATATATACTTAAAACATATATATATATATATATATATATGCAAATCTATATACATATATATATATACATATACAGAGAGGAGAGAGAGAGAGAGAGAGAGAGAGAGATATATATATATATATGTATGCACACACCTACATATCTGTATGTGGTTTCAGAGATATTCCTTTTTGGGCTCTTTGGGTCACTTGCACCCTCGATCCGAAGCCGGACGACATAGAATCTGAAAAAAAGAAGACTCCCAGCCTGTGTGGCTCAGTCGGTCTGGCCGCATGAAATGGCCCCAAAGTTTGTGGCCGGCGGTATGCAGATGAGAGTCTTCCGAAGCCCTTATCTACTAACCTACAACCAAACCCACAACTACTACTATCCTAAACCTAAGTTCCGAACTCATTTTAGGTAGCCGTTAATGGTGCCGTTGGTTGTGATAAGCCCTTATTCAAGCATTAGCTTCACAGCCCTACCCACGGCTATGTGTGAAGTGCAGGGTTCTATACAGCTCCTCATGCTCGATCCTTGCCCGGGTCGTTTTACAGGGAACTCTCGCGTTCTTATCAGGGTAGTTGCGGTGGGGAAAGGCCAAAGCTTCAGAAGTAGGTAGTATTATTAGGGGTACCCCTTAACGGGTACCCCTTCTGAACCCTACTTTTGGCCCTCTTGAAAGGGACCTTATTGAGAGGGTCTATATCCCCAAGGGTCCCCCTAATCCCAGCTCCCAATAAGCAGACCCCTAAGCCTAAGCCTTTCCAAGCCGTCTTTGGCGACTCTTCGACATCGTTTCTGCGAAGGGTGCCGCAAGTGCAACTGGGTCAGCTGTCGCCCTGGGCATAGCCGATCGCCCTTATCTTGGACTCTGTGAATCAGATTTTGATTCTTAACACTTAACCCTGGAGAGGCCGAGTATGAGAGTGCACAAGGAATCCAGAAGCCAAATCCAACAGCCTAAAGCCTGCAAGCCTACCCCAATCCAAAGATTCAGGGGTGTCGACCAGAGGTTTGTAGGCTCACCGTTGTACTGTGCGCTTTCGGAGCCTTCGACACAGCGATCCCTGAACCTGAACTACATCCATCGTGACTCATGGGGAATGACGTCGTGCGTTCTTCCTTTTGAGTCTGGCAGCAGCCTCTGCGAGAAAAAGCAGCGGCCGTGCTGAATAAACCTCCCTAAACCCTAAACCCTAAACCCTAAACCCCTCCAAGCAGCCCCCCATCCCGAAACCTTGAGTTTTCTTCCTAAGCCCAAGAAGCACCATATAATATAATATAGTATAGTATAGTATAGTATAGTATAATATAATATACCCTGAAGCCCAAAGAGTCGTGTAGCCGTCGTATCGACCCTAAACCGCCCCTACGCCCGAACCCTGGCGGCCCTGGCAGGTCGAAATTCAAAGCCCAAATAGGACCCAAGCTGGCCGAGCGCGGGTATATACTCGGCCATTCAACCTGCGAGTCCCAAGAACTAGATCCTAAGTTCTATGATCCAACTCCCTGCGAAACAGCGCAGAAGCCTTGCCGCCAATGCAGGCTCTGGGAAGTATGTGTTCAATGAGACATCATTGGCTTTTGAACCTCGACACCCCAAAAACCCGGATAAGATTTTGATGCGGCAACCTGGACGGCTCTGTGCAGCTCACCAAAGCCTGATCCCGTGTTGCTCCAGCAGGGAACGGCGCCGTGAAACACTTAGGCATCAATCAGCCCTCACCGCTCGATTTGGGATAGCCTTCACAGTTTTGCTTGTATTCTCACAACACTTTAGGGCAAAAGCTCAGAAAGGGCATGTTTCGGATTGCCCACTACCCTTCAGTTGAGCCTGGATCCCTCCATAGTCCGAGGGACATTCCCTCTTTTTAGGAGCTCTTCAAAACCGTGAAATCTTCAATAAGCCCTGCAACTCAAGGGCTTCATGTTTTTCGAAGCCAGCACCCTAAACCCTAAACCCTACACCCTAACCCTAAACGGGTACCTTTGGGTTTCTGAAACACAGGTGCCTTGTTTCGGGAGTCGAGACCTTCGAGAGGCGGTACAGCCCTGAGCCGTCGGCGATGACTGTCGCCGTTTGGGGGTGTGGCTTTAGTGCTGTAGCTTTCGAGCTCCTTTGTAGGGATTAACATAACCAGATGCTAGTCGAACATACCATTTGTGTGCAGGGTCTACGGGGTGCCTTCAGATTCTTATTGCAGCCGTTTGGTATTGCATATAACTGTAAGGCGGCTTGGCGCTAGTGTTGTGTCCTTCTTGCAACCGTTAGAGCCTGGTTGACGAATATCCGTCAGATAGTAGTTGGCACTATCTACAGCTAAGGCAGTTGCTGGACTTGCGTTGGCATCATCATCATCATCAACATTCATCCTGCCGGTCTGGATCATTGTGACCGCTGCGGCTGTGACTGTGTCGTTGGTCATCACACGCATCACCATGCACCACTCTTGTGATCCCTTTGTGCTTGCCATTGCCAGTGTGGTGTCGTTGCTTCTGCGACTCGGGGGTTAAGGGCTTCGGTTGCAGTTGTTCATACGGCCGTCAAGGTTTGGCGGTTTAGGGATGCAGAGTTTCAGTTGGTAAGAGAGAGAGAGCAGGAGGGATATACATTTGCAAATAAGTGTGTGTATGTGTACATATACCCGCGTATGTTGATGATGCAGGATAACGGTGGTTGTCCATGCGGCTGATTTGCATCCTGATGGAAGCGAAACGGATACACATTCGGCTGGACAGTCCTGTCCCCAGTTCGGGCTTTCCGCCGGTCTCTCAAGCTGGGGCCAAAGGTGATCCGCACCTAAATCAAACTCTCGCCGCCGCCATGACACGCGGCCGTGCCCGCTTGCGGACGCCCACCACATGCCCTCCCGACTGCAGTAGAGGGGGTGCAACGGCCTGTTTCGGAGGTTGATGGCTCTTTGGTTTTCCCAAAACCCTGCCAGAGATCGTATAGAACTTTCATAAAGTCCTCGAACTTTTCTGGAGCCCTGACAGAACCCAGTGCTTACATTGGACCCAGGTCTGCTGGCCATGCTGGCCGCGTGGGGCAGCTGGCGGGCAGCTTCCTCCTTGCAGTTCGTCCCGCGCCTTGGGTGGCGAATGCGGCGTACATTTAGGGACTTTAGGGTTTCGGGTTTAGGGTGCGGGGTCCATTTTGGGACTTTGTGGTTTAGGGTTTAGGGTGCGGGGTCCATTTTGGGACTTTGAGGTTTGGGCTTCAGGGGTTTTGGTAGTTTGCTTTGTGGGGCGGTGAGATTTGAGGTTTGGGGTGCCCCAGAGAGCCCAGGACCTCTTCTCTAAGGAACATGCTGTACATCTAAACCCTAAACCCTAAACCCTAAACCTTAAACCCTAAACCCTAAACCCTAAAGCCTTAGAATGTTGCCAGATTCCGGAGGCAGGCGAGGCGCTGAGGCCTAATTCCAATCGTTGTTTCGTCTAGCGCCGGGACCTTTCTACCTGAAACCCTATGCTTGTGTGCGAGTCGACATCCAATCGTTTGTTTTTTTTTCCGGGTCTTGGGGCAAACGGAAGTACACCGAAAGTCTGCGGCCTTGCAAGAAGCAACACAGACCCGTCACTGTTCCGTCCGAGAACCGAAGCGCCACAGTGCCAAAGATCATACTTGCTTCAAGAAGAGTCTGGGGCTCACAGATTACCTTGCTTTAAGTTACAGTACCCAAACGCTAAAAACCGCGCGACGGTGGAAGACCCGCGGAGGATTTCCGGCAGAGCCGCGGCACATGGGCCTGAGCCAACGTCGACCGCAGAGCGCTGCTCGGATCATGTGGGGGTTTCCGAAAATAGGGACCCTAATATAGTACCCTAAATGGTAGGATCCTTATTATAATAAGGGACCCCCAAAAAAAAAGGAACCCCTTATTTTCTGAAACTCCCATTTTGCCCTGTTCCAGGTGGTCTATGATACTATATTTATAATCAGGAACCCCCCAAAATAGTATAGGTAATTGTTTAGACCCTATGTTAGACTTCGTAGAAGTTGAGACTGGCATCGTAGGTTCTCCGATGCTGAAGGACTTTTCCAGGAATCCGCCCAGGGATAGCCTTAGCTTCAACGGGAAACTCGTGGTCTTTGTGAGGTATCCAATGGAAGTTTGGGGTGCCCTTATGTACGGACTCTGCGAGATCTAGCAGTGAAGCGGCTGGCACAGCTGGGTCTTTGAACCGCGGAGCATTAGCAAAGAAAGCTCCCTTCAAGGCTGTAATCACAGTAAGCCCCAGAAGGTGTACTTAGAAGCCTTCTCATAGCCTGAGTAAAAAGCGCCTGGGCCTTGAAGTAGCCTTATGGTCGGTTGGTCTTCGGTCTGGTCTCGAAGAAGCTGAGGTACCTGGCTAGTTGAAGCCACTATGAATCCGGATCTCTTTTAGGATCTAAACCAAGTCAGTGGCTGAGTCACGTTTTGAGGTGGTGCCGGAAGCGGAAGCTGGACCCAAGCAGCTGTAGCCGGCCTGCTTGTCACACCCACGGCAGTTTTCGCCGAGGTGCGCAGGGGCGGGGGTTGCGTTTTATGGTTCTTTCTTCAACGACTACGTTCGAGGCTGCAGGCTGTGGTCTTTGAGACCCGGGGCTTGGAATTCTTCGGTCA